TGGATGGTGGTGTTTAGGTTTGTGTGCATGGTGCTTTCATGGTTTTCCATTTGTGCTGGTTTTGGTTGCAGTGTAGCTACTGTATTTTGTGGGTGGCGTGGATCAGTTACCACAGCGTGGACATCAGCTACAATCTGAAAAAGTTTAAACATCTCTCTGTTCTCCTTCTACAATTTTTATTACAGAAAGAGTGCTTTAATTTAGTAGCTCTGCTTGCATTTCAGGCTGTTGTACACAAGCTTTTGGTTGTCTCACTGTTTCTGTTTCTGGTCAGTTATGGAAATCAGTGAGTAGCTAGTGAGGTCAGTACTGCTTAAGAAGCCTTTTCCAGATTCTCCCCTTGTCCAAAAATGCAGCTATACATCAATGAACTACTACTTCTTGATACTGATCTTGTCATGACAGAGTACAGATCTTACCATTTCAGTATGAAACTGAAGATGATAATTAGCACTTCAGTTACATTTTTAATGAGGAAGACCTCCATAATGGCAGTCTTAATTTCTTTGCTTCCCCACTGTAAATCCAGTGGACAGGTGTGATTATCCACAGCTGGTGATTCTGACTAAAGCTCTTTGTTGACTGTTACATGTTTTTGCTTCTTCACTTTTGTGAATGAGATTACTCGTAGGTAGTCCCACTCTTTGTAGAGAAAAGAGATTTTAAAAATTTCCATAGGGACTCAGAGAAGTAGCATTACTTTTGTCCCATTTGGTGGTGCTTATTTCTGGAAAGTATGGAAAAGTATACAGGATGAGTTACATTTAAATGACTTGTGTTAACCTTTTGTGTCTTCTTGGCAATACAGTAAAGTGTGATGCAAAAAATGATAAACTATATGAAGTGATGGGTTAGAGATTTTTAGAACGGTTTTGAAAGATTTTGATAAGGTCTTGGAGAATCTTACCTTTTGACAGTAGTATAAATGAATTATGCAATTTAATAACAACAAAATACAGATCAGATTTTTAGGACTAATAAGAAATGCTGAATAGTTAAAGAAAATTATGAAGGAAAAGGTTAAATAAAATAATTTCTAAAAAGCTGAAGTCTTATTCATGATGATGTAAAACAGCTCAGTTAAATATTCTTCAAAAGATTGTATGAATTCTGCCTTTTGGTTTTTCTAAGAGAAGATGTTTTTTAATAAGGATTTAAATCTGAATTATGATCAGTGGGAGAAGCATGTAATGAATGAACAAGATGGGGCTATTTGTGACAGTCTCCAGAGACAGGAGAAGTGATGTATAGCAGATAAATATGGGATTAATGTTGAGCAGAGGGGAGAGACCAACATCCTGAATTGTTACTAATAAGCACTAATGAGAGAACAACAGCCATCCTTTGTGTTGAAAAATGCAGGCCATTTACTAATTAAAAATAATTCATGAAGTAGCTTATCTTTTTGTATTCTGCCTGTAATATTTGCATACAAGTGAAGCTGGAGGCAGGGTAGCAAAGTGATCCTATGTAAGGAAGATTTCAAGAGTTTATTGCCTTAATATTTCCCTTAACTTTTAAAGTGTTGTTTTGATCACTTCCATCTTTGTGTGTACACATGAAAGAGAATAAAAAAGCCCAAACTTTTTGGCAAGACTCGGCACTAAGCAATGGAAATAAAAGATTTTGCCATTTCTCCCATTACTATAACTCCTCTTAACAAATACAGCATGCAATGTACAGCGCCTTAAAGCTCAAATGAATACCATGTTCAGCTGAAACTATGAAAATGAGATGAACATAGGTACAATGTACTATGTCCATGAAGGACTTCCTGTTCCCATAGTGCTTTTTGTACACTGAAGTCACAAGATATTAGTAAAGCACAGCTTCTTTTCTCTAATTATGCAGTATAAATGGAAATTGTGGGCAAATGTCCTAATCTCCATAGAGACAGCACAACATTTATTTAATTAGTAGTTTGCCTTTTGGCATTACTTTGAATAAATTAGCATTTCATTACATACCCTGAACTACTTGGAAAAAGTTTCCCAGACTAGTATTTAGTCTTTTTTCTCTGAAGAGTGTATTTTGAATTAGCATAGGTTAATAATATCCTTTGTTACTGGAAAGAGACAGCATAGCAATACCGTTGTATTTTTAATATCAGAGGGTTGTGTTTGCAGGTTCTTTGCTTTCTTTAATCCCTAGGAATCAGAGTAAAATCTTATGTCACCTTATTTAATGTGTTACTCCTTCACCAGGGAAAAATCAAAAAAAAAAAGCAAAAAAAAATGGAACAAATTTGAAATAAACCTTGACATCCTCTCTCTACCCATTCTCCAGAGGTTAAACTTTTTTTTCAAATTGCAAAAGTCTCACTCTATCACTAATTGTAAATGAGCTTTTTGACAGTATTTTCAACACAGCTAATCCAGAATACACTATTTGTCTTCCTTTCTTGTATATAAATGAGTGGCAGGAAACAGAGTGACCAAGTTTAGGTATTGACTGCTGCATGAGTGGCTGCTTATAATGCTTTTCCTGGACAGGAACTGAGAATCAAAACTTGGATGGGAAATTAAAAGAGGTAATTCATCAAGGATAGATTTTAATTTATTTTCTTTCTAAGTATTAAAAAGAGCAGGGAGAAAAGTCCACAAAAGTGATAAAGGGTGGTAATTTCCTTTGTTTGAGTCACTGGCTGTTTCAGACCCCTGCTTACCCCTTCAGAGAGTCATTGGCTGCCACCTGTGGCAGAAGATTGTCATGAAGTATGGTGTTAAATATTTGACTCTTTTCAAGGTGGTCTTTGAAGCAGGGATGTATGGTTATACCACCATTGCCATGGTTGCCTTTTGGTACACAGAGGCATGCAAAGAATCTGTCAGTTCGTTTTTGCTAAATCCAGAGGAATGAAACATCTCCATTTTGGCTTCTTTGATCATGACACTGGGCCTGCTGGCAGGAGACAGGGTACATGTGTCTCAGAGGGAAAAAGGGTCTTTGCGCGGGCGTTAGCAGGTCTCATTCAGTGAGAGAGCTTTAAATAAGGTTTGAAGGAGTGAGGAGATAAAATCACAATCACTTAAGACAGACCTGGAGGCAGCATGCCACTCTGAGAGACAGTGTGCTAATGAGGTCCTTTGGTTTGCTGTCTTGTTAGTGGTAGGGGATGGAGATCTATGCAGCAGCAAGGGTTATTGATGTGCTAGAAACTGCAGAAGCACCTGGGAATGCACATGCAGGACTTGGAGCTTCTTCCCCCGAAAAGGCAATGGGATTGATCACCCAAATGAAGTGCATCTGCTCATATGCATGCAGCATGGGCAACAAACAGAAGGAACTGGAACCCATTGTGCAGCAGGAAAACTATGACATAGGGGGTTGGAAGTAGGTGATGTTTAAGGTCCCTTCCAACCCAAACCATTCTATGATTCTGTGACAAGAGGAGATGGCCTCAAGTTGCACCTGCAGAGGTTTGGATTGGGTATTAGCAAAAAATTTCTTCACTGAAAGACTGGCCAGATGTTGGAACAGGCTCTCCAGGGAGTGGTGGAATTGCCATCCCTGCAGTGTTCCAAAAGACATGTACATGTGGCATAGAGGAGCATGCTTTGGTGTTTAACATGGTGGTGCTGGGTTAGCAGTGAGACTCAATGATCATAGAGGCCTTCTCCAACCTTAATGGTTCTGTTGTGTTTGGCTGTCAGGCTGTATTTTGTATCTAGTAGTACAATACATCTGGGGCTTATGATATTTGTGAGCTTGGAAGCGGTTACAAAAGGAGCCCCAGTGCAGTGCTGCACATGAAGGTCCCAGCAGTATGTTCAACTGGGCTCAGTGATGTCCATTTTTATGCTTCTGGTCTGAATTCTCTGAGCAGATGGTCACATACCTCCCTAATGACAAGTCAGGACAACCCTGTATATTCACTTGCCTCTTGGTAAATGTTGTTCTCCTGCCCTGGGAAGGCTTTTTTCCTCATTATTTGTTATTTGACACTGAGTTATGTCATGGTGAGAGAGGAGCTCATGTTCCTTTCTAGCTTTTCTCCCAGCTTCATTAGTTTTCTCTCTCAATCAGTAATTATTTTGTATTCCTGGTCAATGAGTTAGCCAGAGTTTTGGAATGGTTCATCCTAGATCTTCTATTCTGATGAGCACCCTGCAAATAAAGCCTCAGAAAATTTATTTTCTAACTTGGGTCAAATCTGGCTCTTAACAACAGCTGGAACAATTAATGGAAAACTTGAGGAAAGAAAAGAAGTGAAGATATTAAGTTCTCCCAGCCTCCCTCCCAGCCTCCCTCCCAGCCTCCCTCCCTGCCTCCCTCCCTGCCTCCCTCCTTGCCTCCCTCCCTGCCTCTTAAGCATCATTGTGGGCAGATTTTTGCTTTCAGGTCTGGTCCTCGATTACCTCAGTACCTGTGTAGGAAGCTGGCAAAGGTTTCTAGTCCTCCCCCCACCCAGTGCCTACTAATGTTGTTCCTGTACCCTCTGAGGTTCGTTGGTGCCTGGCCCTAAAAGTAGAACGCCAGAAAATCCTGTGACTTGGTTGGCTGTACTTACCCTCACTGCAGGACCCCAACTCCTGGCTGCCACATTTTGCACTGTCCCTTACCTATATCTGTCCTCATAGGGGCTATTCAGTAGCTCACAAAACAGCTCTTTCTTCCATCTATCCAGAGGCTCAGAAAATCTACTTACAACTCTAAGAACAGAGAACAGTAATTTATGTCCTTGATACACATTGGAATTAACTTCTCTTTTTGTATTACATTTTAAAGGCGCTATGCTAAAGCCCTCTAATCTTCTTCTGTATGTTCTAATAAATTTCATTGTATTTGTTAGTTGTATTGATATTGTTGTGAGCAAGCATGGTCTAGGGAACATGGGTTTGGGATCGCATAAATTGCCAAAACATTTTTCTTACCTGCTCCCAACATATTATTTGTTTTACGGAGATCTTGTCTGGAGATCTGGAAAATGGGAAGCAATGTTAGAGGTATGTTAGAGAGAAAGACTCTTGTAATCTAATGGTCTGAATTTTGTTCTACAGCTTGATGACTGCACCCTGCAATTGTCTCATAATGGTACCTATCTGGATCTAGAATCCACCTTAGCAGAGCAAAGAGATGAATTAGAAGGCTTCCAGGAGGATGCTGGGTAAGCAAAGATTTACTAAATTTTTATAAATAAATATGTGGTTAACTTCATATGTTTGTCAGCGCAGGAACAGAAAAGATAAAAATCTTTCCCTCATATGCCTGTATGTTTGTCCCTTTGTATGATTAAGAATTTTGACTTGTCTCTCTATGTTCACTCTTACAGTGTCTCTAAAATCCGACGTACTGTAGAGAAATCTATGAATACAAATATCTTGATTAGTCTAATAAGATTTTATAGTTCTTTGAAACTTGATAAATGAGGATGGTTTGTTGGGAGAACTCTGAGATCTTTCACATGATATTAGTCATGTAGAGGATTATACTGGGGTGGTATTCCTGAAGTTATAAACTCAATTTCTTTTGCCTTGATAGTTGTCCTCCATTTATATTTTTGAAGAAAAGGCTTATACTGGTTTAGTTTTCCAGTCCTGGAATTGATATGATTCAGTCCAAGGGATGGGCGTGCATGTTGTTTTTTGAATATTTTCCTCTCTAGATTTTCTTCTTTAGTTTTTACTGGCACACATGGATTGCTGTGACACAGTTTTCCATAATCATTTCTTTGAGAACTGAAAGTGAAAGCAAAAGTTATCATCAGTGTGTGTTTGTGTAAATGCACATAGGAGATTTGCTTTTTTGAAGAATTTTCTTTCTGTAGATCTTTCAGGTGATTGTCTTAAGATGTAAAATGAACAGAAAGTTTAGATCTATTTTTGTCTTTCTGGTGACTATATTGGACTGGATAGTTGTGATTATTTTATGGGTATGTTTAACTGAATTTTGAGTTTGTCAGAGTTTCTTTACAGTAGGAGATGGAGCCCTTTTGCTTATACTCCTTCTCCACTTCTAATAGCTGTCTTGCCTTTCATGAATATGCCTTAAAAATTTGAACTGTGCCTCTGAAGATTATTTTATGTGGAGAAGAATTTTAAATAATAATTTCCAGATATTCACGTGTTAGGATTTGTGTATATCTTACTCACACATACCAGTTTGGGGCATATTTTATAACCATTACAAGATAAAAACTGTTCTGTTAGAAACCAATTAGAAGAGAGTTCATCAATAGACCGAGTAGGAAATACAAGCTGAACTGAGCCTCCTTTCCTATGCAATAGGAGCATTGAGTGTAGAAGTTGATATAGTCTTCAGTTTTGTGCATAGGTGATAAAAATTACTGCAAAGAACAGCAAGTTCATATTTCCAGCTAACTTTATAATGAGTTGAAAGCAACTAATACGAAGGATTTTTTTTTTTTATGGGAGCAATACAATTTGAATTTTTCACATTTTTTTTTCCCTTCCATTGGTGTCTCTGTGATTAATTCTGGTAATTTTAACTTCAATACTTTTAACACCCCACAGTTGCAATTTGGCACTGCCAAGACATCTGGCAAGTGAGATCATTTGGTGCTTTTTCCGTCAGATTTTGCTCTTGAAATGGCATGCTACTGCCCACCTTGTTTTATTTTTATGCTTCTTTTGGGCATGTAAAATCAATTATATGAATTGTTCCTGAAACACAATTATAATTTTCTCTGTGATGGCTATTCTGAGAAAAAAACCCAATCCAACAAAACAAAAATCATGGAACTGCTGCTTTTGAAGTTTTGTACTGGTGTGGATTCAGATGGATTTCTGTGTTTCATTTTTGTCCGTGTTTTGTGAGAGAAGAAAAGATAAACAAGAACCACCAGAGATTTGGAACTATGCATGATAAGCTTCTCTGTAGAACTTAACATTGTTACTTGACAGTAAATGCAGCTTATGTGATGTTATTTGGAAAAACAGAGTATTCTAGACAGGTTATCAAATGCAGTCAGTAATGTCTTCTTAATGTATTTCTAGCAAATTAAACTCCATTTTTGGGCCTTACAGTTCTGAGACCAAAACACTGAGCTGGAGTGCTCCTGAGCTGGAGCTTCTGGCTGCAGACCATGGGAGCTTAACAACAGCCTGCTGTCTGGGAGGGACTGGCTGCAGAAACCATTTAGTCTCTCTCTTTTTCTGTCTGGGTCATTTCAAGGTCCTGCTCTTAATCTTCAAAGCTTTTAATTTTCTGAGATTAGGCTACCTCAGGACCTGTCTTTCTGCCATGCCAAAGCTGCTGTGCTTATCAGGGTCACTGAAGCTTGCTGAACTCTAAGTGAAGGCTTTAGTAGCTGGATATTCAAGGCATTTTTAAAATTTTAGAACCTTAGCTGTGGCAACTCCTACTCAAAGTGGTCAGTGTCCTGTAATCTGATACTGAAAATCTGTTTTTACCAAATGTACCTGTTAATCCAGGAAAAGTGATGAAAGTTTTCTTTTTAAACACTATTGAAATGAGACTTGTAAATACAACAAAACAAGCAGAAAGCAAAGTCTCAAAAATTTTGATTGGTTTGAGAGGCTGCAGGTATTTGTTTTCTCTAGGAGGGATTGGATGAGCATAGTGGAAAATATGAAGGATTATCCTTCAAAAGGAGAGAAGAGAATGGTGGCGGTTGCTGGAGGTTTATAATGTATATCTGTAAATAACCTGTATAAGAAACATATGCACTCATGCAATTAGAAATGAATGCTGTTCTGTTACTGGATATAGTGAAAAGAGGCAACAGGTAGTTGCTGTCCACTCCAGCAGAATCGAATCTTCTATCTAGTGAAGGAGAAAAGCCAACACACCTGCCTTGGTACCCTGGAGAACTAACTAAAACATGGATGGGGATTGGACTGCTTTCCAATCTTCACAACTTTACCTGCTGCCATTTGCACCCTTGAGAACAGCTGTAAGATTCAGGAGAATCAGATTGTTTTTATATGGGGGCTCGTTTTGGAAGAGCCAGGACAAACATCGGGCCAAGTAATGAGGCTGGCCCTGCAGCAGGTGTTGCAACCAGCAAGAGGGTCAGTAGGAGCATGTAGGAAAATAACTTTACTTTTCAAGTCTGGATTGTGTTCATGGCTCACTTGCTTGTTGGGTTGCTTAGCTGTTTGGCTTTTTTCCTTGCTTACAACACAGGTTACTTTGTGATTGTGTAATTGTGTAGAGTGGTACACAATGGAGGCTGTTTAGGCAGGCTGGCTGCTTAAAGGTGTTGGTGACAAGTAAAGCTCCTTTCCTTGCCTTCCTTGATGTTTTACAGAGAAAGCAGGAATCATCAAGAAGCTGATGTGTTTAAATTACCATATAATTGCTCAGGCTCTCTTTGTGGATATGTCTTAACAGGCCCTCATGATAGCCCACAAGGTAACACAGTCCTCAGAATGCAGAACATGAGTTTCTTCAGGCAGTATGCTATGAGCAATGACTTCAGGGAATATGTTGTCAAGACTTCTGTTCAGCAGGGATTCTTTTAAAACACTTCTGATAAATGGCTTCAGTGCTAAGGTTTTTGCATTCCTTCTAGACACTCTTTCTCAAGCCATTTTAGCTGGACGACCTTTTCCCTCTTGATGGTGTTGTTCATTCCGGGCTTGATTCGGAATCTATTGGAGGCGATGGAGTCTGGCAAGGATCTCTAACATTCTTTTCCTGTTTTTGTACTCGTTGTTTTCCCGCTTAGATTTTGCAAATAACACAATTGTGAAAATGAAAACTTATTGTCACTTGTTTACATAAGGAAGTTGGGGATGCATTTGAAAATTAATTTAGTTTTTGTCTTACAAAAATGGTATGGCTTATTTCTTGAACCAGTACTGAAATCTAGCAGATTCTATGCTGATTTTACATCACTTTAAACAGAATGTATTTTGTGTTTGTTCATGGGTGAAAAACGTTCTCAACTTCTGGTAGCTTTCTCTCTGTGTTTTGTCTTGATGTCATTTCTATGTTTTGCAGTGCCAACAAGAAAAATAATGGAGGTACCAGGGAAAGATTGTCATTTTGTTGCTACAAACAGGAGACTGTGACTTCTTATTGACATTATTCATCCATGTTGTGAAGAATATATTTTGATTTCTATAGAAGAATATATTATATATATTTTAATTTTATAATAATACGTATTTCTATAGAAGAATATATTTTGATGTTGTGAGGAAAATATTTTGATTTCTGTGATATTTCGCTATTAGGTCTGATGAAATGCTGAATCTGAAAAATGCAATTGATAGTCACAAAAAAAACCCCCAAGAAAAGCATAAAAAACCCAAAAAACCCCCAAAAAACCCCAAAACCACAACAAAAGCAGCTCCCTAGAAACATCAAACTAAAAAACCTGGGCTGAGAGGTCATGGTAATTTTTGGAAGATGTAAGAATTTCTACAGGGTAGCAGTATGACAGTCTAAAATGTATCAGATTGAGATGTTGCACCACATTTTGAAGTGGATGTATAGCTAAAACTATACTGTTGTAGAATAAATGGTGATACAGATTAAAATTTCACATTCCTAAAGAAATACATTTTTATGGGCGAGCAAATTGATGCTTTCTTAATTACCTCAAAAAGATTGAGAGCATTAACTATTACTGCCTATATTTTCAAAACTTTATGCAGCTTTTTAGCTTCTTATTTCTGATATAATTTTGTTGTTTATGTAAAAAATAATTAAATAAAATATTGAAAACAATCTTTAGGTGGAACTGTAGTAATTAATTTTCATAGTTCTCTTGCAATAATCATTGACAGCAAAATGAAATAAAATTACCGGTCCCATATGGTTTCCCTGCACAGAACAATTGGCAAGGCATCTCTGAGCATTCCTGCTTCCAGAGCGTGTAATCAAAATAATACACATATGTGTATGTATTTTGTAGGCCTGACAAATGAGACATGTGACTTTGAGGGATGCGCTCTGAAAGCAGGATGGATGCAATTAAAAATTGAAAGCTGCAGTATGAAAATTATTCACCAGTTGAGATAAGTATTTCTTTTCAGTGGATCTTCTTGTCACAGTATCTTGTGAAGAAATGATTGACAAATTAAGGTTGCTACTAATAGTAAAATGCTACTGCTTTTGTAGTTAAAAAAATGAATTCTGATTTGTGTATATAAAATGTTTTTAGAAAATAAGCAT